CTCCTGTAATGTTGGTGGTGAGTCTGTTCCTGTACTGTTGGTGGTGAGTCTGTTCCTGTACTGTTGGTGGTGAGTCTGTTCCTGTACTGTTGGTGGTGAGTCTGTTCCTGAGCTGTTGGTGGTGAGTCTCTTCTTGTACTGTTGGTGGTGAGTCTCTGCTCCTGTAATGTTGGTGGTGAGTCTGTTCCTGTACTGTTGGTTGTGAGTCTGCTCCTGTACTGTTGGTGGTGAGTCTGTTCCTGTACTGTTGGTGGTGAGTCTGTTCTTGAACTGTTGGTGGTGAGTCTGTTCCTGTACTGTTGGTGGTGAGTCTGTTCCTGTGCTGTTGGTGGTGAGTCTGTTCCTGTACTGCTGGTGGTGAGTCTGTTCCTGTACTGCTGGTGGTGAGTCTGTTCCTGTACTTTTGGTGGTGAGTCTGTTCCTGTACTGTTGGTGGTGAGTCTGTTCCTGTACTGTTGGTGTGATTGTGTTCCTTTGCTGTTGGTGGTGAGTCTGTTCCTGTGCTGTTGGTGGTGAGTCTGTTCCTGTACTGTTGGTGGTGAGTCTCTGCTCCTGTAATGTTGGTGGTGAGTCTGTTCCTGTACTGTTGGTGGTGAGTCTGTTCCTGTACTGTTGGTGGTGAGTCTGTTCCTGTGCTGTTTGTGGTGAGTCTGTTCCTGTACTGTTGGTGGTGAGTCTGCTCCTGTACTGTTGGTGGTGAGTCTGTTCCTGTACTGTTGGTGGTGAGTCTGTTCCTGTACTGTTGGTGGTGAGTCTGTTCCTGTACTGCTGGTGGTGAGTCTGTTCCTGTGCTGTTGGTAGTGAGTCTGTTCCTATGCTGTTGGTGGTGAGTCTGTTCCTGTACTGTTGGTGGTGAGTCTGCTCCTGTACTGTTGGTGGTGAGTCTGTTCCTGTACTGTTGGTGGTGAGTCTGTTCCTGTACTGTTGGTGGTGAGTCTGTTCATGTGCTGTTCGTGGTGAGTCTGTTCCTGTGCTGTTGGTGGTGAGTCTGTTCCTATGCTGTGGTGGTGAGTCTGTTCCTGTACTGTTGGTGGTGAGTCTGTTCCTGTGCTGTTGGTGGTGAGTCTGTTCCTGTGCTGTTGGTAGTGAGTCTGTTCCTGTACTGTTGGTGGCGAGTCTGTTCCTGTGCTGTTGGTGGTGAGTCTGTTCCTGTGCTGTTGGTGGTGAGTCTGTTCCTGTACTGTTGGTGGTTAGTCTGTTCCTGTACTGTTGGTGGTGAGTCTGTTCCTGTGCTGTTGGTGGTGAGTCTCTGCTCCAGTACTGTTGGTGGTGAGTCTGTTCCTGTACTGTTGGTGGTGAGTCTGTTCCTGTGCTGTTGGTAGTGAGTCTGTTCCTGTACTCTTGGTGCTGAGTCTCTGCTCCTGTAATGTTGGTGGTGAGTCTGTTCCTGTACTGTTGGTGGTGAGTCTGTTCCTGTACTGTTGGTGGTGAGTCTGTTCCTGTACTGTTGGTGGTGAGTCTGTTCCTGTGCTGTTGGTGGTGAGTCTCTTCCTGTACTGTTGGTGGTGAGTCTCTGCTCCTGTAATGTTGGTGGTGAGTCTGTTCCTGTGCTGTTGGTGGTGAGTCTGTTCCTGTACTGTTGGTGGTGAGTCTGCTCCTGTACTGTTGGTGGTGAGTCTGTTCCTGTACTGTTGGTGGTGAGTCTGTTCCTGAACTGTTGGTGGTGAGTCTGTTCCTGTACTGTTGGTGGTGAGTCTGTTCCTGTGCTGTTGGTGGTGAGTCTGTTCCTGTACTGCTGGTGGTGAGTCTGTTCCTGTACTGTTGGTGGTGAGTCTGTTCCTGTGCTGTTGGTGGTGAGTCTGTTCCTGTACTGTTGGTGGTGAGTCTCTGCTCCTGTAATGTTGGTGGTGAGTCTGTTCCTGTACTGTTGGTGGTGAGTCTGTTCCTGTACTGTTGGTGGTGATTCTGTTCCTTTGCTGTTGGTGGTGAGTCTGTTCCTGTACTGTTGGTGGTGAGTCTGTTCCTGTACTGTTGGTGGTGAGTCTCTGCTCCTGTAATGTTGGTGGTGAGTCTGTTCCTGTACTGTTGGTGGTGAGTCTGTTCCTGTACTGTTGGTGGTGAGTCTGTTCCTGTGCTGTTGGTGGTGAGTCTGTTCCTGTACTGTTGGTGGTGAGTCTCTGCTCCTGTAATGTTGGTGGTGAGTCTGTTCCTGTACTGTTGGTGGTGAGTCTGTTCCTCTACTGTTGATGGTGAGTCTGTTCCTGTACTGCTGGTGGTGAGTCTGCTCCTGTTCTGTTGGTGGTGAGTCTGTTCCTGTACTGTTGGTGGTGAGTCTGTTCCTGTACTGTTGATGGTGAGTCTGTTCCTGTACTGTTGGTGGTGATTCTGTTCCTGTACTGTTGGTGGTGAGTCTGTTCCTGTACTGTTGGTGGTGATTCTGTTCCTGTACTGTTGGTGGTGAGTCTGTTCCTGTGCTGTTGGTGGTGAGTCAGTTCCTGTGCTGTTGGCGGTGAGTCTGTTCCTGTACTGTTGGTGGTGAGTCTGTTCCTGTACTGTTGGT